TATACGTTGGGTAAGGGCAAAAACCCGTTATGTATATAATTAACATCTCCCCAACGCAAAAATACATCTTGAAAACCATTATAGTCTATTGCTGCAATATTTAAGAATGAAAAACAGTTCCATTTTCTATCGTGTATTGTAAGAATCATTTTTTCGAAATGAGTGATCAGCAATATAGATTTCATAGGGTTAGAAGACCTTATGTATCAATAAATCACAGTCAAAAGTTACATTTTTGTTTCAGGAATGACTCTACTGCAACTGATTTTTGGATCCTCATAATAATATACAAAGGTGATGCTGTTATTATACCAACTTGTTTCTCCCCAAAACTTGTTAATTAAAGGACTGTTCCTCTAATTTTGATATTCTCTCAGGTTCCTGGCTTGCCCACACCCATCGAGAACATGATCTTGCGCTACGTCAAGTCTAAGGCTGACTGGTGGACTAACACGGCCCACTACAACCGAGAGCGTATCCGGCGGGGGGCCACTGTGGACAAGACAGTCTGCAAGAAGAACCTGGGCAGATTGACTCGGCTGTATCTGAAGGCGGAGCAGGAGAGGCAGCACAACTACCTGAAAGTAAGCAGATTGTGAAAAAAAATTGTGCTTGAACATATCAGGATAATGATAGCAGTATGGCCTGCTTGGTAGGCAGGATTTCAGAAATTCATCTCTGAAAGCATAGTTGAGAAAGGGAGGGATGTGAATATGAGCACCAAGTAATTGCTAAGTGAGAATGTTGGCCGAAGATAAGCAGGCTTTGGAGACTTATAAAATCTACCTGAAATGGATGTGAAAGAAACTGGGGACTTGAAAGTGAGAAAAAATGACTTGTGAATCAATGTGGGTTGGAGATGAATAGGATTTGAACCCTAACCTCCTAGGGAGCATCGAAATCCTGCATAACCTTGTCGGGTTCCGCATGGTTAGGACTATAATATAGATAATATAACATAAGGACCTGAAAGTAAGCAGCAATTGACCTGTGAAAACAATGTGGACTTGAGATAAGCACAATTCAAAGATTTTTGAAATCTCGCTGAAGCAGGTAGTGCAGCGATGCCACTTTTCCGATTTTAATCGGAAATCCAACTTGTTTTTAACATTGACAGAATTAAATAAAGAAGAAAAGACGGGAAGCAAATCTATGATGTGCACGTAACCTGCGCTGCGCGACTGGGTATTTAATCCTTAATGCAGTCGTCAGTATAGAGTGCTTACGTGAGTCATATTGTGCGAAATACTAAGGACAGTGTTGAGTGGTGTCGTCAGTGACTGGAAATACGTTGAAATATTGACCTTTAACGCGTACTAGCTCAATGCATGCGAACTGCACGTTGGTTGATGAACACGTGGATCGACTTCATGAGCGAGGGCCGACAAAATGCAGCATCTAATTGTCAACAGAAACGAGGATCTTCATGATATTGAAAGAGATGTCAAGGACAAATTTCAGTGGAGATGGCTCGAAGAAAAGGATAACAATCAGAGCGTGAAATTACTGTCGGACATCGGACATTTTCCGACTCCGAGCACTTACTGTGTTTGTCCAAACAAAATAAAAAATGCTCTGACAAATTGTGCAACATATCAATAACAGCTCTTAAAATATCAACTCAATATTTGGGATTGTGGCGTCCGATTTATTATTTGTTTTGTGTTAAAAATACACCCAAGACATTAATCAGGGCTGATCACTCATCCCCAGCCCATTTTAACTAGCGCTACGCACAGTCACAGTGGTGAAAACACGTGCACGAAACTCTATGCATTAAACATGGCTGCTCTGGTTCCCGTCGCACCCATGAAAAAGAATGCGTCATGCAAATGTAGCAATCAGTACCAGTCTGTACTTTACGTGTACTGCATGTACTGTACATAACCACTCTTCATTAGCCGTACGCGTCAGGCCAGAAAGACATCGATTGCTACATGTATGTTGTAAGTTTTCTGCAAGTTAATTCACAGAACCTGGTCTCTTATTCATGTATGTATTTTCTGTGTTCATGAGAAATATGAGGTTCTGCTCATTTTAGCGCCCGCCGGCCTAGATGCATCACGCATGCTTACCACGCGATACACGGACATTGTTGGCCAGTTTGCCGTCGTGATTGCCGGAATTGTTTATGATTTTCTTGTGAATTGCAGAAATTTTTACATAGATTAAGACAGGTGTTTTTCACTTTTTGAGATACTTTTTGAAGCTTTCCTCCCTACTTATGCCATTCAATTAGCACTAAATTGCCCCCAAACAAAAAAAATGTTCCGACCCACCGATCCAATTTTTGAGAGGCGTGCACAGCACAACAACATTACATATATTTTTTTGGCCTAATAAAAGACTGCTTGATGTAGACCTTAAATGAATCTTTGGCAAGTGTTGATTCCAATTTGATCAAGCAAATTTTTGACATTGCCTGCCATATCGGGCAAACTATAGAAAAAAATAAAGTACATATCTTTTTGAGTAAAAAACAGCAGGCAGCCTACCCGTAGGCTGCAACTCGACCAGCAATGATCAAGAAAGAACTTTTTGTTTTTATGGGTGACTACATGATGAAGATGCAAGTTGTATACATGTGCATGCACACAGACCCATGCATTATTCCTCCGACACTGTGCAAAGCGCTGTGGATATGTTGATTTTCAGATTTTTTTTTTTGGCATAGGCTAGTGGAATCTCTGGTAGTGAAACAGGCTTTTGGAGAACTGGCAACCAATTGGCCCTGGGAAAAGCAGGATATGTAGACACCAATTCTTTTTTTTAATTCAAAAGCTGAAAGGCATAAGCACTATTTGAAATTGAGTATTAACAAAAAAAGCTACAGAAACAAGTAGTTACGACCAATTTTGCCAACAAGTTGTCTTAGTTTAACAATTCTGTCTCTGACAAAGATATTTGCTTTACTGTATTACTAAGCTTCAAAGGTTCTCTCCCCTTCCAGGACGGACCCTACATCACCGCAGAGGAAGCCGTGGCCATATACACCACCACCGTCCACTGGCTGGAGAGCCGTCGATTCTCCCCAATCCCCTTCCCACCTCTCTCCTACAAACACGACACTAAGCTGTTGATCCTGGCCCTGGAGAGACTCAAGGAGGCTTACAGGTCAGAACGATGAAAATCAAGACCTTCTTGATAAACAAATTTGATAGACTCTCTGCCTGTATTTTTACTGGAAGTTTCTTCACCTTTTTTAAGAGGCTGACTAAACAAGCCATTGTTTCAGTGCCAAAATTCAACCTAGTTCCCCATTCCGTGTACTTAATTAATTATGCTAGGAGGTTTACAAGGATTTAGCATGATTAAGGAAGGTTGAGCCTAGCCTCTGTAACTTTAGTTGGGAACTGATGCCTCTTGGAAGTTAATGCCCAAAACTTCCTGTGGGTTTAGTGCACACTGGGGGATTTTGGAAGATTCAGGAAAGTTCTCTGCAAGAGTGCGTAATGTTAAGTAACTCTGATAAGCAACTGTTTGTGTATTGAGCAGAACCTGAACAGCAGTCAAAGATGCAGGCTGCATACGGGGCCTCAGCCTGGTCTGGTTATTTGGAAGCTGGGCTGTATCGACTGGGCTAGACCTTTGAGGTAGTTTGGTCTAACAGTAGTATAGCTTCCTCATAAGATACCAAGGTCCTGGCGTGGCTTGACTTTTCAAAGAGTCACTGGCAAATTCTTGAAATGCCGGAAGGGTTTTATTGTCAGGAAACTGATTTGATTTGTCTGTTTTTTAAATGCAGTGTCAAGAGCCGGTTGAACCAGTCACAACGTGAGGAGTTGGGCCTGATTGAGCAGGCGTATGACAACCCCCATGAGGCCCTCAGTCGCATCAAGCGTCACCTCCTGACCCAGCGTGCCTTCAAGGAGGTAAGAAGCTCCACTCTATCGTGCAAATCTCTTCATTCTAACCCTCCACCATCCACACCCTGTCCATACAAATTCATGGAAATTTCATTTTTGTCGCAACTTTGCCGGTGATGTCGGATTCCCCTACCTAAATGTGCAGTATTACAGCACCTTGAGGAAAACCGTAACCATGTATACTGAGGCAAAGTTGCAAATAATCAACGTGTACCCGTTTTTGTTCAAAATTAACATTTTTGTTTTGAAAATCAAAATGAAGTGACCGCTGGTTGAGCCCCTTGTGATTTGATTTGACTCTCAATTTGTCAAAGGTTTGCAGAGTACTGTAGGTTCCTTCCCCTGCAGGTTACTTCTGTCGTTTTTTTATATCAACCTTGTCAGATGTTTTACGGCTAAGGCTGTGGTTTATGCTATGAGCTACTGTGGTGGATAACTGCAGCTGTAGGCAGCAGTGCCCTATTTTGGAAACACCCCAACGTAAATAATGGCAGATCAAAATGGTTTATAGGAAGTGTGCAAAATTATTAGAAATGTGAACCATTCCTGCAAAATGAGTGTCAGTGCCATTTTTTTCAGTAATTTTTGTTGTAGATTGCATTAGAAAGAGCAGAGATGTTTTGTTTGTATGTTTCACTCAGTTCAGCATCCCGAAGATAATGGACATTACGTGAGTGAAAAATGTGGAGATGTTTCATTGACTTTATAATACAATGTAGATCACCTCAAAGGCCTTCAACTGAAAAGTGACGACTTACTTTGTATTTTAAATCAAATTCCTGACAGGTCGGCATCGAGTTCATGGACCTGTACAGTCATCTGATCCCTGTCTACGATGTGGAGCCTCTGGAGAAGATCACCGATGCCTACCTGGACCAGTACCTGTGGTATGAAGCAGACAAAAGGCGTCTCTTCCCCCCGTGGATCAAGCCAGCTGACACCGAACCCCCGCCACTGCTGGTGTACAAGTGGTGCCAAGGTACAAGTCAAAAGAGATGCCTTTGATGTAAAGTTCAAGAGAACATGGAAGGTTTTGTAAATGGTAGAGCAGGCTACTGTAATAACTTTATGTATCAAGGTCCGACTTTGGTTGTCTTTTGCAATTGTGTAAAGTTGGAAACCCTCATTTATGTTGTCATTATCAGCATAGACTCTATGGAACATTACAAGCATGCAACAACGTGGAGCTTAATTTCAATTTTAAATTAAATTTGCCCATGAAGCCCTCAGCTGTCTGTGTTTCATGTGGTGCTTTTTTGTCTCGAAAGCACACAAATTAAAATCTTTATTGATATTATGCCTCACACTCAGAACATTTTAACCACTTTGTATCGGTGGCATTTATCAATGTTGATGATGCTGGGGTGGGATAATTATCATTTTTTTCTGTTTTCAAAATTCTTTAAAAATTAATACTGGACACTTACACCCACACTGAAGGACTGTCTGGTTCTACTCTAATCTGACAGACAACATCTATTGCCACTGATTTCAGCCAAAAGCCCAGATTTTGCCGTGTTACATAATTTTCTTTTGTCCATGAAACTGACACAGTGCGCTGCTGACCTCTTTTCAATAGGGGCCAGATTAGCGTGCAGTGGTACAATGTGGCTCATCGCTGCAGTGGGGGAGCGCTTTTGTCCCCGATGGTAATCCACTCGCGCTAAATCCCCCAAACTGTGGTATACTGTTTCACTACAAGGCTGGACTATCTCCACTATTGAGAGTGAAAAAATGTTGGTAATGCCCAGCAGCCTGGTCTTTTATTACGAGTACAGTTTTTTGTCATAAGGCCCAGTTTCGGAGACCCCAGCCACACGTATAAAGAATACGTGTCCGGTACTGGAAACCCCGGCAGCAAGTGGTTAAAAAGAGGATCTTGCATGCTGCTTTAAATGGCATTGTTAGAGCAAATACTAATACATCTTGGCATGGAATTTTGGTATTGTGTTTTCCAGACATATGTAAGATATCTGTATAAAGTTTGTAGAATTAACAGCACTCAGTGTTGCTTTAACACTGATTTTTTTTTTCTGTTTCAGGCATCAACAACTTGCAGGACGTATGGGACACTGCAGAGGGCGAGTGCAACGTCATGATGGAGTCACGCTTTGAGAAGATGTACGAGAAGATCGACTTGACCCTGCTCAATCGACTCCTGCGTCTCATCGTGGACCACAATATCGCCGATTACATGACGGCCAAGAACAATGTCGTCATCAACTACAAGGTGCAAAGTGCATTGGTGAAAAAAATAAACTGCTCTACTCTGTTGCCAAGAATTTCCAGCAGCGTCAGGTTTTGCCAGAATTGTCATTTATAGTGTGAAGACTCTGACTTGTGCATGCAGCTTACAAGTTTTTTTCACTGGGAAAGTGCCCTCAATCATCCATGCAGAGCCAACGGCTGTGTTGCCTGTGGTACATGTATTTTGCATGTCTTGTTTTTGTCTTTTCTGTAGGATATGAACCACACCAATTCCTACGGCATCATCCGCGGTCTACAGTTTGCTTCCTTTATTGTCCAGTACTATGGTCTGGTACTTGACCTCCTGGTGCTGGGCCTCCACAGGGCCAGTGAGATGGTTGGGCCCCCTCAAATGCCAAACGACTTCTTACAGTTCCAGGTAGGTCATACTCAACTATTGGGAACAAAGTATCAAAAGTCTTTTAAACAAAGATGCAGCTTTGAGATTTACAAACAGGTGACATGAAATAATATGGATCAGACGTGTTGTTTCTGCATACAATTCTGCTCTGTTTACTTTCAGTAGAGTGAAAAAAAAAATTGTTCTGCTTTTCTCACAGGATGTTGCCACGGAAACGAGCCACCCAATCAGACTCTACTCTAGATACATCGACAGGGTTCACATTTTCTTCAGGTAAATAGGTGGCCTGGGTTTTTTTAACACCAATTTTGACCACAAATTTTCTCGTAAAAGTGTGGAAACTTAAAAGTGCTTTCATGTACTACCACGAAGATGACATATTTTCAGAGGTAAAGGATTACCTTATCAAATGAATTAAACTGTCGCAGAAGGAAATGCAGTTAGTTTCAAATCTTTGCCGTAATTGCTGTGGAATGTGGCCGGTGCTTTTCTCTTTTCCATTGGATCGTGTCCACTGGAGCTGTCCGTTGAACAGTTTGTTGCATGCAATGTGTAGTAGCTGCAAGCCAGTCTTGTACATGACTAGCTCGGTCCGTAAGGCAGTGCTACAGTTATCTTATCAGGTCTTTGCATCGTTGGACGGCAGCATCTGTCCATTGCAATTCGCCATCCAGGAAACAATGTGATACATCTAAAGACTGTAAAAACAAAACTTTAACATCACCCTGGAATTTAAATTTGTTTGAAAATTTTGGATGATTAATTTCATCAGTTTTACTGATTCTGCATTTTTGTTTCTGTAGGCAATGTTTTTATGTTTTGCACAGCACAAATGCAGTATTCGTGTTTTATGTTTTATCCCTTTTTATTTCTTCAAAATTCTTATTATGCACACTCACGTTTATATTGCACATTTCTCTGGATTGAAAGAAGTAGTTGTTGATGTTACAAAGCAATTAACTTTGATAGAACCTTTACATTTATCGTCATTTTTGGTACAGATTCTCAGCAGAGGAGGCCCGTGACCTAATCCAGCGCTACTTGACGGAGCACCCCGACCCCAACAATGAAAACATCGTTGGCTACAACAACAAGAAATGCTGGCCTCGAGATGCCAGGATGAGACTCATGAAACACGACGTCAATCTGTGAGTGTCAAACAAAGGAACAACCCTTGAAGTTCACCAAAAAAGGGTTTAAATGCCCGGGTCGTGAAAAATTACCAATTATGTAAAAGTTGACTGGCAGGGTAGGGACAGTCAAGCAGCACGATAAGAGAAAATGTTAACAATGTGAATTACAGATATTGAATAATGTTTGTATAAACCTCATTTAAGAGGCAGATTTGGGTAGAAGGTGCACCCAAGACTGCTGGAATCTTTGCTGTTTTAAAGAGTAATTTTAATAGTTAGATTTAGTTGTGAAGACGTTGAATCTCAACAATCTATATTTAGGGAATTTAGGGAAGAGTGCAACATTAAACCAAGGAGTAACTTGAGTTTTCCCAAGGTATCCCACAAAATCCTGTTGACCCGCGCAAAACCTCAAAGCAAACCTCGAGGTTACCCCTTGTTAACATTGAATTCAACAAGATTTCTACTTGACTGATGTCATGAAAATCCCTTCTCCCCCCTCAAGTGGTCGTGCCGTCTTCTGGGACATGAAGAACCGTCTGCCCCGTTCCATCACCACCTTCCAATGGGAGTCCAGCTTCGTCTCCGCCTACAGCAAGGACAACCCCAACCTGCTCTTCAACATGTCTGGCTTTGAGTGCCGCATACTGCCTAAGTGTCGGACGACTTCGGAGGAGTTCACCCACAAGGATGGAATCTGGAACCTGCAGAACGAGGTTTGCATTCAATACACAATTCACATCAGAAACGATGTTCCATATTCACCGCTATGTACTATAACAGAAAGTCTTGGAACAGCCATCCAATCATAACCTACTAGAAATTCCATGTAGATCAGTTGCCAAGGCCAGTGTCACTAATGCCAAACAGCCTCAAGAGGCCTAGCCTAACAGTGACCACTTGATCTAATACAAGCATTCAGTGATTCTAGTTGGTACTTTCCCAGAATTTAGCATGTAACATTTCTACTGCCAAGCTTCTACTATGCACACTCTTTGCCCTGTCAGCTGAAATTTATTCCAAAATATCTTCACATGGCTTTTCACCCCTTAAGTATTTCCTTTGTCTGTACACTGAGTCCTACTTCATGATATTCCAGAAATTTTGTGTAAAGCACGTCGGATAGACAAGTTTCTTTACAGACAAAATGCCAAGTGCACTGCAGAGGTCAGCACTCTGTTTTTTCCTCTCAGGTGACCAAGGAGCGCACTGCCCAGTGTTTCCTGCGAGTCGATGAGGAATCCATGCAACGATTCCACAACAGGGTCCGACAAATCCTCATGGCATCTGGGTCCACAACCTTCACCAAGGTAGGTGTAAATCTGAGAAACCTTATCAACCATTCTTTAGGTGCAAAAGACTTTAAAAAGAGAGATGCTTCTTCCAAGTTAACAGACATTTCCAAGCTGAAAAGGCTATCACAATTCCTGTAGGTCATCTGGTAAAGATATTCAAATTTAGTACTAAACTTTGAGGTAAACCTTGAGTTATCTCCTATTTAACTTTGCATTCTTGCCTCATTATGCCATTGAAATGTGGAGAAATCTTTTCCCTCCCACTAGATTGTCAACAAGTGGAATACAGCCCTGATCGGCTTGATGACCTACTACCGCGAGGCAGTGGTCAACACCCAGGAGCTGCTGGACCTGCTGGTCAAGTGCGAGAATAAGATCCAGACCCGCATCAAGATCGGTCTGAACTCCAAGATGCCCAGTCGGTTCCCACCAGTCGTCTTCTACACACCCAAGGAGCTTGGTGGCCTGGGCATGCTGTCCATGGGCCACGTGCTGATCCCCCAGTCTGATCTGAGGTGAGGTCCCAGGGAAAATACCACTTTTGTTTTCTGTAGCTGGACAGTTCAACACAAAAGTGGAAATTCGATCACAATGTTACTGACCTTAAAGTAGTGATAATTTTCAAAGAAAGAAAAGTTTTATTAAAAACATTAAAGTGGAATTAAAATTGTTGTACTGCACATTAAAGAATTCTCTACGATCATTTAAAAATGTCAGGAAAGGGCGGCCAACGGAGGCTATGGCCCCTTACAAGGAGGGAGGGGGAGGACTTTTAAAGCCAAACATCTCGGTCTGTTTTGTTTCCCTTCAAAAAGTGTATAAGAAGCACCAAAATGCAGTCTCACCTTAACCGCAAGGATTATCAAGGCTTTGGCGTATCAATTTTCCAGGTGGTCCAAGCAGACAGATGTCGGCATCACCCACTTCCGATCTGGTATGAGCCATGACGAGGACCAGCTCATCCCCAACCTGTACCGCTACATCCAGCCCTGGGAGAGCGAGTTCATTGACTCGCAGCGGGTGTGGGCTGAGTACGCGCTGAAGAGGCAAGAGGCCAACGCTCAGAACAGGTAGGAGAAGGAAGTCCGGTTGACAGACCAGCAGACACCGACAAAGTCGATCCGGGCCAAGGAAGTTATGAATTTAAGAAAGCTGTGGCACAGCATGCATTTGATGGGAAGGCAGCCCACAGAAGTCTTTCATAGAACACAAGTTGGCCTGTTGTCATCCTCAGCAGATGTTAGACCTGACAAGCTAATAAGGCTTTGCAGTCAACCTCACAGAGTTTAAAGAACTATACTCTTCAATCCAAAAGCAAGAATTGGTTTGAAAAGACAAGTGTGAGCATTAGTGTGTTGAGGTACAGGTAAAACATTGCCATACTTAGTACTTTCTTTGGAGCGTATAAAACACAAACAGGTTCTTTAATAGCGACATTTAGTAAGTTCTATGTTTTTATTGTTCTGATCTTCTCAGGCGCCTGACTTTGGAGGATCTGGAAGATTCGTGGGATCGTGGCATACCTCGCATCAACACGCTGTTCCAGAAAGACCGACACACCCTGGCTTATGACAAGGGCTGGAGAGTCCGCACGGACTTCAAGCAGTACCAGGTCAGTATATAAAAAAGGAGATCCCAAGGTACGCCCTTTAAGTTGGATAGTTAAATATGCCTTTTACAAGGGACTTATTATCAGATATCTGCATTTGGCCTTTGGAAAAGCAAATTGTACCCTACACTAGAAGCTCAGCATACAAAACTTACAATGAGTCTGTTCAGTATTTCACAAAAGCAAGGTCATTCGGGAACAAAGCATGCGCACCATTCTGCGTGGGGCTGCACTGATAGGGCAAACCTCGCACACGCGTCTGAATGACCTCGGACTCGCTTCATTATGGGTGTGCATGGTTGGAATACTGAACTGGCCCATTGTGGCTATCTATCTTGTAGAATCCATGAGCATCACACGGGTCATATTTGCGACAAATACCTTCCTATGCACTGACCAATCACAATTTGTGATGCATACTGACATAGCTGGCAATCAAACCTTATAAACCTTTTCAATACTGGTGACTGATCTGCACAATAGTGCAGTTGCCTGCCCAGCTTTCTGTCATCAAACCAACTGCATCATACAGAGTTGGGGTGGTCTGGTACCCATTTGGATTGGTGGAAACCAAGTTTCTCTCTCTACACAGGAAACCTTCTTACATGAGTTAGCACATCCTAGTGCCCTGTCCTTGCTCCTGTTAAAAGGCCATGCAGTGCCCTATAGTCCTTCCACAGAGCCAATATTCATGTTGTACATCTCTCTCTCCTGCCTGCTACACCAGGTCCTGAAACAGAACCCCTTCTGGTGGACCCACCAGCGCCACGATGGCAAGCTGTGGAACCTCAACAACTACCGGACTGACATGATCCAGGCCCTCGGGGGCGTGGAGGGAATCCTGGAACACACACTGTTCAAGGGCACCTACTTCCCCACTTGGGAGGGTCTCTTCTGGTGAGAAGCCACAAGTTGTCTTTCCTCAATTCGGAATATTGCCATTGGCGGATGTCCTTGCCAAAGCTTCAAAAGTTTCAAAACTTCATTATGAAACTGTATTATACTGACTAATCCTCTATTTGGCATTTTTCCTGGTAACCTTGTGAATCGACCAATCTCCATTGTACAGGAAACCAGTGGCACTTTCCTCTTTAAACGTTTCACGCATCATCAAGTCTCAATTTCCTTATTCCTTAAATTTCCCTGCAAAAGCTCCCTTTGGAGTGAAGGGTGAGAAAGAGACAGAGTTGAGTACGGCCAGTTGGGCCATGCAGCAGTTCCTTTTTTTTTTACAAATGATCAGTAAAATAGTAAACAGGGAGAACACAACCACAATGGATAAAAATGAACAGACACACAACACAACTTGTGAGGTGTAAATGATACACGTCTGTTCAGTGCCTCTGGAATGGCTTCCTTCATTTCCAATAAGTGTAGAGTGAATGTAAATGGCAACCAAGGAAAACATGCCTGCCTTGACCCCATGCCTGGAGTGCTGCGCCGCTTGCATATGTGGCCAGTCACAGCAGCGACCTGGGTTAGGCTGCGTTGAGGCATGATTTATTCTTCAAATATATCCATATAAGCCACCTGGAGTATAAGTCCCAGGGACATTTTTCAGCATGAGAATCAATGTATAAGCCGTGGCTTATATTAAAAAAATTACGGTTTTTCTAATTCTAAGATTATAGCCCCTCAATAGGAAAACTAATAGTCTTTCATGGACTTTGTTTTTTTTAATGATTACACGTCCATTTCTCTTACTGTCAATTCACCTTCCTTGTACGCAGGGAGAAGGCCAGCGGCTTTGAGGAATCCATGAAGTACAAGAAGCTGACCAACGCCCAGCGATCTGGTCTGAACCAGATCCCCAACCGTCGCTTCACCCTCTGGTGGTCGCCCACCATCAACAGAGCCAATGTGAGTTAACCCCTTCACTATGGATGACTGCTACTACACCACCTTTGTGTGAGCATTAGTGCATACCACACATACAGTCTATTCACCATGTAGCTGCTGGTTCAATGGGGCCTGCTGCTGGACAAAGCCCTCCATTCATGGCATGCCACAGCCCAGCTGTCGCAGTCAAAATAATCCCGCCGTGAAGGGGTTGAACAGGTCGTCAGAGGTCTTGTTTTCACTATGGACATATCACTGTTAAGGTGCTTTTTATCGGACAGGGACTATTGCTTCTCTTTGCATTCAGTTATCCTGCTTACCACCTTTACGTGACCTCACCAGTTTTTTTATTTTGGCACAGTTCGAACACACATGACTGCATTGCTTAGATCTTTTCCCTATCCTTTTTCTAAATTGAAGCCCTCCCCACTTCTAACATCACATCCTACTCTTTTTTGTGGATGCATGTTAGTCTCTAGGTACCTCATAATCTGACAAGCAACTTCATTGATAGCAAAAAGTTTAAATCTCCATCGCAAAGATCTTCCCTACCACAGGTTTTGTCATTATTTTCTCTCACCTGTCTCTCCCCAGGTCTACGTAGGTTTCCAGGTCCAGCTGGACCTGACCGGCATCTTCATGCACGGCAAGATCCCCACTCTCAAAATCTCCCTCATCCAGATATTCAGGGCCCACTTGTGGCAGAAGATCCATGAGAGTGTGGTCATGGACTTGTGCCAGGTGAGTCGGTAATAGCCTTTCAGGCTTGTACAAGCAGATCTTGATGTCTGCTGTCAAACGACATCTTCCCTCATCACCTTTTATCCCTCTCTGTCTTTGCTGTCGTGGAGTGGATAGTTGTTATTTTGTGCGTTGTTCTGTGACAGGTTTCAAGATGTACTCTATCCTGGCACTGAGCCTTAGGTCTGTGGTTGAATGAAATTCTTTGCTAATTTTTTGGCCCAGAGTACAAGTGATCTTGATCAAGGGTTTTTACACCTTCGTCTTCTCTTGATGGAACCCCTCCAGGTATTCGACCAGGAGCTAGACGCCCTGGAGATTGAGACGGTACAGAAGGAAACCATCCATCCAAGGAAGTCATACAAGATGAACAGCTCTTGCGCCGACATCCTCCTCTTTGCCTCCTACAAGTGGAACGTCTCGAGACCATCACTCCTAGCCGACAGCAAGTGGGTCCACGTAATTGTCTCTTGAAGCTCAAAAGAAGGGAAGAATTTGTACGATTTGGGAGATACCTATACTCAATATGTTTACGTGTTCACAAATCCCAAGGGGCTGATATTCGCATTGGCTTATTTGAAACGAGGAGCCATCTCTCATGCAACGTGGATCAAAGAGTGTGTTATTGGAAATAACTCCATTGAATGTACCGGTATCTTTGTCTGTAGATGCATCTAGATTCAGTACACCAGTGAGGTGAAATATCTTTAACCGCAATCCATCAGGGAGTTTCAGAAGTTATGTTGGATTTGGAGGATGAGGTGATAGGGTTAACAACAGTCACCTGCTGCTATTTTTCCGTAATGGAAGTATCAGAAATGATGTGCTTGAGTGACTTTGAAACAGGGATACTGAAACTAGAATGCGCATATTTAAAGACACCATTCTTAAATAACCATGGAGACCTTCCTCTGTGTTACCTTTAAAAGTCACAGATCTGATCCGATTTACTTCCTTGCAGGGACATGATGGACAGCAGCACCACCCAGAAGTACTGGCTGGACATCCAGCTGCGTTGGGGTGACTACGACTCCCACGACATTGAGCGCTACGCCAGGGCCAAGTTCCTGGACTACACTACGGACAATATGAGTATCTACCCCTCACCCACAGGGGTACTCCTGGCTATTGATTTGGCCTACAACCTCCATAGGTGGGGTGATTTTTATGTAGAACATACATTTTACTTCTACAGCTTGGCTCAGTTATTTCCATGTTCTCCATACATACTCCATCACAGTTTGGTATGAAAATACTTTGACCTTTATCTTGTGTGTGATGTTGAAGTGGCATACTTTGTTGAAGTCTTTGCTTGTTTTGTCTACAGAAAGATGGAGAAATTTGTCTCTTTCCAAACTATGTGCATAAGAACTGTTAGCAGACATTTTGAGTTTTCTTTATTTTTCATTAATACAGGTCAGGTTGGCTTTATTTTGCTCTATTTCAGAGTCCTAAGTCTGCTAAACACCTTCACTATTTAGAAAAAATACCTTGAAACAAAAGCAGGTATACCAGCCAAAGCACTATGTTGTATGCAATACTTTGCATGGTTCCAGCTTTTTGGCTACTTAACACATAAAACTGCTGAGCTCTCGTCCTTGTTTACGAGTTTCATCTCTGAGCTGTGATTGATGGAATGGAATATGCAAGAAGTTTATTTTTCCCCCTTAAAAAATTCTCCTTTTAATTTTTTTTTTCCTAGTGCATTTGGGAACTGGTTCCCAGGTAGCAAGCCCTTGATCCAGCAGGCTATGGCCAAGATCATGAAGGCCAACCCTGCCCTCTACGTTCTGCGAGAGCGTATCCGCAAGGGTCTCCAGCTCTACTCCTCGGAGCCCACCGAGCCCTACCTGTCCTCCCAGAACTACGGCGAGCTGTTCTCCAACCAGATCATCTGGTTCGTGGATGATACCAATGTGTACCGAGTCACCATTCACAAGGTACATCTGTTCAGTAGAAATCTTATTACCACAAATGCCAACAGAATGACGTTAATAGTAAATCTGATCCTAGAATGTATTGTTTGCCAGCCCTGTTTGTCTTATTTTGAATTTGGACATCCTCACCTGAAACTCGCAGAATGTGGAGGGAATGAACAGCTGAAAAAATTCAGTAGTGTAATTTAGATTTTTTGAAATAAGGTAGATAAAAATTATTACCTTTGGTAAGGAGGTTTCATAAACTGTGACAAGTAATTTCGAATCTGCTTCCACGTGATTGCCAGTTTGGTCAGGTAAAAAGCTTAAGGTCTTGTGAAAAATAGGTGGCAATTTCAAACTTGGTCTGATTAAGCCAGTTATATGTTTCAACTTTGCACGAAATGAGTTGCGACATGAGCCTGTTGGAATAAGCAGTGTATGCGTTCAAGCTTGGCTTATTCTGTGCATTCGTACACTGACTCACAAGGACTGAGTGATGCTCGGTGTTATCCTAAATGACCATTAGGTTGTAGGATTTGGTGATTGTAACCTCTGCAGTTTACTTGATTCCTTGGCAGACTTTTGAGGGCAACCTGACCACCAAGCCCATTAACGGAGCCATCTTCATCTTCAACCCTCGCACCGGCCAGCTCTTCCTGAAGATCATCCACACCTCGGTCTGGGCCGGCCAGAAACGTCTGGGCCAGCTGGCCAAGTGGAAGACGGCCGAGGAGGTAGCTGCCCTGATCCGCTCCCTGCCTGTGGAGGAGCAGCCCAAGCAGATCATTGTCACCAGGAAGGGCATGTTGGATCCCCTGGAGGTAGGCTTGTCATTCACCCATCACTTCAGCCCATTATCACTCCTAAATCTCTTCTTTATCCATTGCCAAGCATTCTACCTTGTCACACAATTTTCACAGCCCCCATCCCAAATCTTCATCTTTAGGCTACAAGATACCAGCTGACAGTTAAAAAAGATCCAACGTCTTAATTGAGTATATGTTTTGGGAACCAAATAGTTGTTGACACTCTGCTGCTACAGTTTTGTTTCTCCCGACTTGCTGAGATTTTAAGGAATTAGTTTTGCTGTTGGGTGAGAGTGGCAATAGACCACCAAACAGTAAGAACAGGACCTTGATCCCATTCCAAATTTGGCATACTAGGCCCTTGAAGGTGGTGTTCATGTCCACCTCTGATCTTCTGTCATCTCTCCCTACTCCTAGATCTTTTGCTTCTGCTATAATTATCATGCAGTTGATTCATTTTGATTCTTCTCTTTCAGGTTCACTTGCTAGACTTCCCAAACATCGTCATCAAGGGCAGTGAGTTGCAGCTGCCCTTCCAGGCCTGCCTGAAGGTGGAGAAGTTTGGTGACCTGATCCTTAAGGCGACGGAGCCCCAGATGGTGCTCTTCAATCTCTACGATGACTGGCTCAAGACTATCTCCTCCTACACGGTAGGGATTTCGTTTTTCGTTATAGCCAAGCAGGCTCCATTCCATTTCCAAATCACTGTACAATATATCCTCATCTTTAACCCATTAGCAACTGCACACATTCTTTACTGTGGTCATTTACTCTCTGAAACAATTTAGGGAAAAATCCTGAATATGACAGATGTACAAAACAACTCCTGACACTACTTTTGCTGTCCACAGTTTTGTGTTGCAAGTTATTTTTATTGGGGCGATAAGAAAATAATCTTTCACATTATATGCAATTTATTTTTCTTCAGTGACCTGTATGTGTGACTTTTGACCTTGGAAAAAACATAGAAGTTATCAATTTTGCCAAAATTAGCTAAAGTTGGTTTTCATGGTGCTTTTTACAAATAAATAAGTATCTAATATAAATAATGTATCTAAAGATTTAATTTCTGTTAAATCACACCCATGGAATTTGTTTTACCTCTAGCAGTTTGACCTTTGACCTGTGCAAGATATGACAAGGAATACACAAACCATTGCACACATTTATATGTAGTTTTATGAATGGTTGTTTAGTTTCAGTAAGCTGATTCATGTGTATGTACATGCATATGCCAAAGAAAATGACGTTTAACGTTATTACACTATGACCTGTCTTGTGGCCTTTGGCTTTTCAATACTTTTACAGGGAAAAATGATAGAAATGTGATATTTTGGCATTCTGCTACCAGTGCATGCATATACAAATTATTAAGAAACATGTAAAATAATGACGTACATGTTCAGTGCCCCCCCCCATCCTGTGTACACGTGAAATGCCAAGCAATAGCCACTTGCAGTGTCACAGAGGAACTACAATTTGATTCCCCATTTTGTGGCCTTTTTCGGCATTTACTGTTTCCATGACAGTCTTCCATTGTACCTTATCATCGCTTCATCTACTGACAAACATTGGCCTTGGACAAACATTTGGTGAAGTGTTTGATCACGTTTTGTTACAAAGTTACGCACTTTGTGGAGGTGATCGTCTTTATTGATAGGCTCAGCAGGATTGCTGCAGTGGAAGTACTGTGAGAGTTTTTCCTATTTGTTTTTAGACATGATGGATAAAACGTAGCTGTCATTCAGAGCAGAATCATTACTCCAGTAGTTGTTATACCCTGGTGCTTGTTTTATTCCCATCAGAATGTTGATGCCTACCTACAAAGGCCCTCATTTCGAGAGCATTTGTTTTTGTCCAGTATCCATCTGATGTTGCAAATCTATCGTTGGGATCAACTACATCTGGTGGCTTTTTGACTGCAACATTCATATTGGTGTTGTAGGCCAACATTTCGAATATTTCATCCCCAACAAGGCAAAGGAGGTAATCGATAGCAGGAGCATTGAAGGGAAGCCCACCTTTAGGTCTGGGAGTTTCCATGTACGGGTGAACTATTGGAGGTGACAAAGTGTTCGTCCAGCCAGGTGGAGGAGTTACATTTTCGTTCTTCTTTCTTCGCACTCTGCGACTTCTCTGCTGGCCTCTTTTGTGGCTTGCGTTTTGGCTAACTTGGACCTGGAGTATTTTCGTCACTCTTATCACTAGTAAGATGGTCATCCCCGTCCCCATCATCACCTTCATCGCTGCTGCAACTAATCTAGTGAAACAAAAGAAACACAAAAATTGAATACAGCTTCTTTTCAGAATCAACCTTCGTCTTCACATTGCATTTGGGAAAGACAGAGCCAAGTAATGCCTCGAGGAAAAAGAAAAAAATGTAGTTTGAAGCCTGGTTTGCAAAAACAATTTAAAAAAACAAGAACTGAAACAAAACAAACAAATAAAAAACAAAAACAAAAACTGGAAACTGGAAACTGAAACAAGAACTGAAGGACAGCTGACAGCCCCCCCCCAAAAAAACAATAAAGGACAGCCCTGAAGGACAGCAAAAGCAAACATTGAAAAAAAAAAGACACAAAATGCACAAAATTTAAAAAAAAAAAAAACCAGCGTAATAAAAACAAAAGCACAAAAGCGTACAAAAAACGTTGCTTACACACTTGTCCTAAGAGTATGACAGTTTACTTCAAGAAAAAATCCACAAGGAGCTCAAAACATAAAAAGAAACGTCTAGACAGTTGAGGCCAGGCCTAGAGTTACAGATAAATCACCAGCTGATCTGAGTCATGTCAGAGGCCTAGAACAATTATTCATAAACTAAATTGTGGTACCATATACTTTTTGTAAGGGTCATGAAAGTGGTATTTATCAGTAACCCCCTCCAAAAAAGGGGGGAAAATTGGACGTTGAGAACACACCAATAAATATAGTCGCCATGACTACAACACGTACAAGGTCAAAACAAACGCTCGGTGAATGAGGTCACACGGCCGAAGGAATGCCATTTGTGAAATTCACGTTTCACTTTCTCAGTTCATTTTCTTTCCCATTACAAATTTTCAGGCCTCGAATTGTCATTTATCCACAAGACAGTACATGTAGTTAGGCCTACCTGCGAAACTTCAATATCACTTTCGTAAGTTTGATCATCCAGTTCATCAAATCTAACATCAAATGCGTGCAACACTTGCTGCAGCGTATACCTCGACACCATGTTGAACGGGTTTATCAAAGATTCGGAAGGGCTGACCCCAGAACTTTAACAGCCAATTATGTCTTTTTTTTTATAGCATGAGTACATTTTATCCATTGCATTAGAAAGGGAAAATCCCAAGCTGCCTGGCAATGTGCAACACTTTAGGTCGCTCTTTGAATTCATCGCAGTAAATCGATGCTTAAAGTACGGTGCGTCCTCGGGCGGTACAGCGAGTAATAGGCCGGGCGGTTTTGGGCGGTACAGTGACTAAAGGGTTAAATGAAACAGATGAAAATAGTCTATTTTGAAAAGAAGAGTTGGACTCCAAATGTCCCTAAAGAAAATTGTTGCATATGACATTCAGTCTTGAATACTATTTCCTGTCTTACAATTTACCTGGTTTTCTAGAGGGCTGTGTTATCAGATTTGCCACACAGATGTGCAGCAGCCTTTAGAGGTTGTTTCCCAGTTGACAAAAGAATTGCTTTAATCTGCATCAAAATTTCCCAATATTCTCCCGACCTTGACTGTTTCTCTTGGTTGTCTCTGTCTAGGCCTTCTCACGTCTGATCCTGATCCTGAGGGCACTGCACGTCAACAATGATCGCACCAAGGTGATCCTAAAGCCGGACAAGACCACCATCACGGAGCCCCACCACATCTGGCCCACACTGACTGACGAGGAGTGGATCAAGGTGGAGGTGACGCTGAAGGACCTCATCCTGGCCGACTACGGCAAGAAAAACAAGTAAGTAAGACGTAGAACCTAAAATTCATCATGTTTGAACTACTAACAACATTATTACAGAAGAATGCAAAGTTACCCAAGGGATAACTCGAGGTATCAAGTTATTTTATCCCAAGGTACCCACAAAACCTCCTAAACCTCCTAAAATTACTTCAAGTTAAACCTTGAGTGTACCTCCTATTTAATTTTGCAGTCTTCTTTAGCCAGCCTTATTTGTCCTTTTTAGCCAACACACCGCTTGCTGACGGCAGTTATCAGTGATTTTGCATTTCTGTTGGCAACAGTTTTAGTGCAGCAGCTCCCTTCTCTCATTACTGATTACACACACTTGAGTCCATACACACTTTGGAGAGTACCGAAAACATGCCCTTAGATATAAGAGAGATTGATGAGATTTGGGGATAACATGAACACACGAGAGGCCATCCACTGTCACATATCTTGCATCAAACCAGGAGCCTCTTTTTTTATAACAGAAAGTACTCAAGTGAACAAAGGTAAACATACTCCTCAATGTCTTGGCTGTATCTCGTGGTTACACATCCTGTCACCCTGTGGTAATCTATTGTCTCTTACCTTCTGCCTTCTTCAGTGTTAAGGTGTTTTCCCTGATTCAGTCAGAGATTGGTGACATCATCCTGGGAATGGGTATCTCAATGAATGCTCCCAAATCAATCTGCTGATGATCCCTTCTTGGTACATTTTCTTTCCAAGAGTCATAATCTTCTGTGTTATGTTCGCTATCCTCTCTCAGTGTGAACGTGGCATCCTTGACCCAGTCAGAGATCAGGGACATCATCTTGGGCATGGAGATCTCAGCGCCCTCGCAGCAGCGTCAGCAGATTGCCGAGATTGAGAAGCAGACCAAGGAGCAGTCACAGCTGACGGCCACCACAACCAAAACCGTCAACAAACATGGTGAGGAAACCATTATCAACCTGTTCCCAACTGTAGAGGCCCCCTTCTGAATTTCAGCAGCCACCAGACCAACAAGAAGTTTTCAGTTTCTTCACTTTGCAGTTTTGGTGTTAACGAGTCATTAGTCAGAATATCTTGAGTTCTAAACGATGTTTTTAAAAAACATTGGCTCGAATAAATTTGATCGTCCAGAGTAAATTTGCTGTTACTGTTCTTTCAGTTAATCTCCTTAGCCTGGAATGTTCTGGGTTTTTGCCATTTTGAGCTGTCTTTAGCTCTAGGCTTCTGTTCATAATACTTGAAAAGCTTGCTGAAAATATTTTCTTTTCCTTGTAGAATTCAAAGTTTGAACTCTTACTGAACATAATGGAGAATTCAAGTGACTTGTAGATGGTGTATTAGGACCAAGCCCCTTTCATAAGATCATCTTTGAATAACAAGGTCTCAAATCCAGAATTTCCTGATTCTATCCGCAGGTGATGAGATAATCACCTCCACAACCAGCAACTACGAGACGGCCACCTTCTCGTCCAAGACGGAATGGCGGGTGCGAGCCATCTCGGCCACCAACCTCCACTTGCGTACCAATCACATCTATGTGTCCTCAGATGACATCAAGGAGACTGGCTTCACCTACATCCTGCCCAAGAACGTTCTCAAGAAGTTCATTACCATCTCAGATTTGAGGGCCCAGGTGAGGATCTGTACTGCAAGAGTCTGTTGGCCTTTAAAGCGTGATTGAGGGCACTGTGTAGGTATCCACCACGAGAAGGCCGGTCCTCAAGACTGCTTGTGAGTTTGCATATCAGCCCTGCACGTGAACAGAGGGTGACATACTTGAAGAAGTTTCAGCTTCATGTACACAGAGTTACTTCATGTTCATTCCTTGTCAATATGTGTTCCTTCCATCTTGACACAAGTTCCTGTTTGCTTTGTATAATGGAAGGATATGAAGGGGGCTTCGTGGCAATTGATACGCTTGTGAATCAACCCTCCACAAGAATGGAGAGCAGTGTACTGGTATAGCTTTTCCTTCAGTTAGCACAAAATTGCAAAATTTCCAAATCAGCTAAACATTGGATGATTCCTTTTTATTTTCATTCTAATTGCCTAACCCTGTCCTGCCCCATCAGATTGCCGGCTACCTGTATGGCGTCAGCCCCCCAGACAACCCTCAAGTTAAGGAGATCCGATGCATCGTGATGGTCCCCCAGTGGGGCACACACCAGACTGTCCATCTACCCAACCAGCTGCCTGATCATGAGTTTCTGAAGGTGAGTGTGATCAAATTCACGCCATCTCTTTATTTTGTTTTTCCCGGAGAAGGTGAGTGAGAGGGTGATTTAGATGAAAGCATGGCTTGATGCTGTCTTTGCAGTTAATGAAGTATATCTGGCTTTCATATGGGATGTTGTGCCCATCCAGTAAGTACTTTGGATTTTCTCGGCAGATACTAAAATGTCCTATGAATGTGTGATATCCCTGCCATCAAAAGTTGCTTTGGCAATTTGTTTTTTTGAAAATGTCCACAATGTCAGACACTTTGAGTGTGTTTTATGCCTGTTGGAAGAATTTTATTGAGCTCAAGATTCAGTTGTGGAGTTGCCACCACCCTTGTGATATCAACATGCCGACGCTTTGTCTCTCTTGCAGGAGATGGAGCCCTTAGGTTGGGTGCACACCCAGCCCAACGAGCAGCCCCAACTCTCTCCTCAAGATGTCACCACCCACGCCAAGATCATGGCTGACAACCCAACGTGGGACGGCGAGAAGACTATCGTCATCACTTGCAGGTAGACACTGGTCATATTTGACTGTTGTTTGTTTTAATCCTAATTGTTTTCAATCCTCCGAAGTCCTCTCAGTGGCTTTTGGAGGGTTCGGAGGAATGAGACTGGAGTTAAAAATTTGTGGCCGGTTTGGAAGGGTGCATTGTGTCAAGGTTTGTCATTAGACTTTGGGTTGTTTATATGCTGCCATGAATAAGTTCAGGCCTAGATTGATTCCACACTGCCCCAGGATATCTCTGCCTTGACATAATGACAAGATCAGCCAGAGGATTTTGAAGGATTGAGATGGTAGTCACCCCTTTAAGGAACACTTGTAAGAAATAAGGGAGGATTTGGTGGGCTATGGCTTTATCCATTTTGACCTGGAGACATTTGGAGAATGTTGAAGGACTTAAGATGCATCCTAGCCCAGTGAGACTGGGGGATAGGGTTATTGACCAAGTTCAAGCATGATCCACGTATATCTTGACATATTTTTGATTGTGCGTGCCATTCTGTCCAATAATTCGAGTGCCCCATGTGAAAACAAGAAACACACTTTCTTTTTTACTTCCGAGCAAGACGCCCCATGTACTTGCTTGTTTGCATGTGTCCAACATGGTGCATGCACAAGAAAAAAGAAATTCTTTAAGTCTTTATAGCACGTTTCAGTTAGCGCTCAGCAGTCAGCACAGATGGTAGTCAGCTGTCATGCTAGCCTTCCATTATGGACAAAGCGGATTGCAGTATCTCGTTTTCACTTTCTGAACACCACATCTCTCCCCTGCAGCTTCACCCCCGGGTCCTGTTCCCTGACCGCCTACAAGCTGACGCCCTCGGGCTACGAATGGGGCCGCTCCAACACGGACAAGGGTAACAACCCAAAGGGCTACCTGCCATCGCACTATGAGCGGGTGCAGATGCTGCTGTCAGATCGCTTCCTGGGCTTCTTCATGGTCCCCGCCCAGGGCTCCTGGAACTACAACTTCATGGGTAGGCTTTTCCCCCTCCTCCCCCCCAATAAAATTCCGGCTTCGCCACTCTCTCTGGTTTTATCTCAGATTCTGCAAACAATAAATTCCACACAAGGTGATCATCCTTGCAGCGATGAGGCTGAATTACAATGAATGCAGCTACATTGCAGCCAAGCAGAAGTTATACAAAGTTGGCCGCCAAAAGACCCACATCTGACCATTGAAAAAGCAGCCAGAAATTCAAAGTGTTAATTTTTATGTTTCAACCATCGAAACTGATTGAATATACTCCACATTTCAAATGCAGAGGCACTACCAACCCAACCTGGTTACATGCCTGCCCCTAAGTGCACCTTTGGCTCGTAATGGGTACTCAGTGACATTTGATTTGGAGGATGCTACACAGCGTTGGTTAATAGTGATATCATTTCTGTCCATTTTTACCCATTTCCTAGGTGTGCGCCATGACCCCGGGATGCGCTACGAGCTCCAGCTGGCCAACCCAAAGGAGTTCTACCATGAGGTCCACCGGCCATCCCACTTCCTCAACTTCAGCTCCCTGGAGGAGACCAGCGACCTGATGGGCAGTGACCGAGAGGACATGTACAAGTGATAAGACTTTCGAGAAGAGTCTCTCTGAGTGGAATGGACAATTACAAGTGGAGGCATGTAAGTAGGTGGGTTGGTGATTACAACAGGGGTGGGATGGTGAATGGATGAAGTGGTTCAATTCCAGCAATGGTTGCATTCTTGAATCTTGTTCTTATAAAACTTTCATCTGTTTGGGATGTGTCTTTTGTGGGCAACACGAGATATAACTCATTCCTTAGAGTGGGGGAATTACAGACTGAGGACTGTAAGCAGGTGGGTCGGGATTTGTAAGGAGGGAGGAATCTGGTTCAATACAGCAATTATCCTACTCAACGATTAATATTTTGGCAGTGAAGGGACTTTCCTGAGCACCTCTAGGTGGGACTCGTTTCCAACAGTTTGCAGATTACAAATGAAGAATTGCAAGTAGGTGAATAAGGTTTCTAAGGGAAGGGTTAACCAAAATGATGGATAGATATCAGTAATGGCCCAAACTTTATGAAATCTTAAATCCTTTGCAGTGCACCAACTTTTATGGGAAGTCTCACAAAGTACCTCATTCCCTGTAGAGGTTTGGAGAAATAAATATTTTAAGTAATTGTGTACAGAGCTTACAGCCAACTGATAGTATGATGACAAACCTGATGGAATGGAATTAGAAGGGTGGGGTTTCTTTATCTGTGTTGTTTCTATACAAAAGGCAAATGAGGTTCAAAGCCATGAGAATTAATGGAGGAGGTAAGATCTTGTTTTAGTTTTGGGTGACAACTGGTCGCACTCGTAAAGCTGTCTCTGTCAGATTGTCATTGTTAAATTACCAGAGTTTCTTGTATGTACTTTAAGGGCTCTTTTTCAGCTGCTGTTATTTAAGAAATCAGTTTTTAAACCTTTTTTAATATTCTGAATAGGAGTTTGTAAGCCATTTCCGAAGGAATTAATTGGATAATTACTGGAGGAAGAAGAAATGGCTCTCAGAATTAGATTGAAATCATTAAAGGCAGCTTTCGTCTAGTATTCTCTAAACATAATGAAAAAAATGGTTTTGGGTTGATTTTTTAAATAATGAGTCACTGATACATAAATTGGAGGCACCTGTGTTTTGACGTTCGGAGTTCCGGATAGAGCAGTAGGAGTGTTGTACTGTATGTCATCTTTGAGTTTTCTAATTAAAGGAAATACTACATTTAAAGCTGGATGCTGATGCTGGTGTAAAGTTTGACTAGAAATGAAATAGAAAACGCTTTTGTAAATCGTAAGATTTGGAAAAAAGATAAAACCAAAACGTTGCCATGCATATTTCAAATTGTCACAATAGATTTACGTGTAATAACTCGAGGCAAAGGTACATGTGGGTCGTATCAGATTTTTTTGCTGTGACAATTTTGCTGTTAATTTTGTTTCCTGGAAGTTGTCATTTTCGTTATTGTACTGTTTGTGTTTAGTGACCTATTGTGAGGTTTTCAGTTCATTGATTTGGATTATTTGTTTTGTTTGGTCCTCGTCATAGTTTTACAACATACTGTAGTGTATGTACGTTGTAGAAGCATTATGATTTACTTTGGAAATTAAACGCCTCGGATGTGTACTCAAAAGTTTGATAAATTTTGTTTTATTTCATTTTTTCTGTTCCATTATTTGTGTGTATTTAAAAAGTTAGATGTGGCAGTTTTAGCCTGTGTTGAGCATATCTCCGATTCACAGCCAAGGAATTATGTACTCTGAATCGGTTGAAGAACAATGTTACTTTCACTTCTATATATAGTCGGGAGTTTCGGCAAATACATGTGCATACCGTGTGCACGTTTATTAGCTGCCAGACTTTCATGCGAAAGTGTGTCGACGCCCTGGGATGGAAGGGTTTTCGATTTCAGTCTGAGGACTGACCCTACTGCAATAAAATTGTATATGATGCAAGATGTAGGGTGGAGAGAACCCCCCCCCCGGTCTGTGTTGGTCATTGTTTGATCGGAATATCAAGAATTCTTTACATGCTTCTAGGGGGGGATGTGTGAGGTAACAATAATCTAGAGTGTGTATAGGGATTAGACATGGGGGTACCCATCAGCCCCATAGCGTGCATGGTATCTAAAATTGGTACTTACCCAAGCCCAGGCAGACTCCCTGACCGTACTGTGTTCAGTCGTAATGTGATGAAGACTGGCGTCCAAAATGAGCTTGATTCCCGATAAGAAGATGGGGTTGACCGGAACCTTTCTCGTCTTTTTCGTTTAACTAATTACTTATTACTGATTACTTAAGAGTGGAATGGGAAGTGGTAATGGAAACGTTTATAGTAGGGTGCCGGAACTTTAGGAAGGAGCGAGGGGTTTAAGTTTGGATAACTCAGGGAATTGTGTGTGGGATAAAGGGTCTGTGGATGCTGAGGGATTGAAGATGAAGATTTGGGGTATAGTATGAGCTTATGACGTGTCGCTATTGTAGCACAAAATTACTGCGCGCCTCTGTCCGCGCGCACATCGTGCCTATGCAACCTTGTTGCGTCTTTTAAAAAACAAAGAAACGCGCTCGCGACAGCAGTAGTGCTGCGTTTGCACACGGTCCGCGCGTCTGTCTTCCAATCGCCAGTGTTCGAATGACTCGTTCGCTCATCGCTCTACTTGATGAGGTTGTACCAGATTTCTTGTGTTGGCGGTACAGTTCTGAAAATCGCCATGAAAGCGTAGACGGGCTTCTTTTGTCCAGGAATTGTTAATCAGTCGAGTGGAATTGTTTGCAGTTGGATGCTGAATGCGACACATCTTCTCTTCCATACTTTCGAAACTTGGAGGAGCAACAAGATGGAAGAGTCTTGAAAATTTAATCTGTAGTTGCTGAAAAACGACAGCGCGTTGCCTTTGCAGCGGACTTAGCCTAATCCTTAAAGAAGTAAAACTGGACTTTACAAGATATGAGTGCTTCGGAGGCGCCCTGCCAGACGCGACAGGAATCCCCCGCCAAAGAAACCCGGGGGTATCTCTCGGCATTAGCCGGCGGGAAAAGCCCCATCTCCATGCCGCCCATTCCGGCATGGATGCTGAATACCCCCATGTACAGTAAACTGCCGATGATCCCCGCCCCCAAGGGGAAGATCACCCTCTACACAACTGGACTTGGAGAGAAGGTAAGCCGCAGGCATGAGTCGTTCTTGGCCAAGTTGGTTACTGTTGTCTGTTGGGCTTTACTTTGGATCGTTCTGTGATCTTTGATAATAAATTCTAAGATGCCTAAACGAACTGCACGACAAGAGCAGTCCTGTGTAGAATAGCGCCTGAAGACTGTTGGGACCTACTGACTTGTTATAAATTTGGAGAGACTTGTGATGAATTCAGCTACAACACCGTTTACGCAAAGTGGTTCGGGTAAAAACTTCGGTGAAATACATGTAGTGCCAGATTGAGTGAGCAATTATGTTTATTCAGTCAGTATTAATGAAAGATTCCGATATTGTTTTTTTTTTTTCAGCTGTACCCCACACCGGTCGGCCTGGACTTTGACCCCAGCGCTGAGGGGCTTAGCAGCGAATACAAAAGCCTTCACGACCCTCACCTGAAGAGCCATTACACACAGCCATCCACCTTCCACGGGCTGATTAGGAAGAAATTCATCACCCCAGAAGGAAAAGTGAGTTTTGAGCTTTGAAAAAAGCAACACTGAAATGACGTACGCCCGCTCCGCATGTGGGACGAACTTTAAATATACTTTTCCGAAGTAAGTGTACACATTTTCTGCCTTTAATACAACCGAGTTGAATTTCCATATATTATAATATATATATTGATAATATTCGTAACATATTCATTTTCTCTTCTTTTCTTCTTTTCTGTTAAGGTAATTTGCACCCTCAAAGAGTTCAATGACTACCACCAGTATCTAAAACGTGTCAACATCGAAAAACTTGGGCAAGACCGAAAAAGTGTTGTGAGTATTTTTAAGTAACAACCTTAAGTGGTTGGCCTCATCATGAGCCACGTGACAAGCCCACTTGATAAGTGGAAATACCTTGGTTAAATGCGAATGGTGAAGCCATAGTGCTATATATGGCTCAACGGATAAAGCCGGCCTCCTAACTAAAGGGTCAGTCCCAGTTTAAGAGCGAATCCAGAGCCAAATGTTTGGGACCAAACGTCGTTTATAAGGGGGCCGACAAATTCCAAGTAATCTTTATGGCCTTTCCAGTGGATTTAGAAATGATGCATTTGCTCACCAAACTGTAAAATGAACCACAGTGAGGTCCCCGTTTGTGACTGAACTTCACAAAAGCGATGTGCGTCTCGTGGCCCTAGTCCCGGTCATGTAACGCTTCGGTATTTTCGCTGTTCTCGGGTTGAGACCAGCAATATCGAATACGAGAATAAACACGCCACATGATAAATTAATACGTTGCGTGTTTATGCCCATAATCGACAGCATTACGTTTGGCCACTGTTGTTTAACAGTTCAAGCAATGGTCAGCCTCGTTTTATGCGTCATAAATCAGTATGGGTAAATTTAAAATCGGAGGTTAGGATAGCATGAAGTTCACATTTGTTTTAAAAGTTGCACCTCAAGACAAACCCCGTTTATAACCATAAGTGCAGTTACGTTTAAATCTTGTGATCCTGTAACCTCAAAAAGGAGTTGGTAGGAATCTGCTCTGTACTTTTCAGGCCACCAAAGAGCGCGAGGAACGACAGCGTCAACGCCAGGAATGGAGCAACAAGGAAGAGCTGAGCCCTCACGATAAGCAAGTCTTGGAGACACGGATGCGCAAGAGAAAGATGCTCAAAGAACATCATCGACGGTAAAACCTCTAAACTAAACACATCCATCTTGCTTGATATGAACTGAGCAATTTCTAAGAAACACGGAGTAAGGCATGCTTCTGACTATACATTAAACAAATCTTCGAATTAAGATACCTCTTTTGAACAGTGCGTATGTAGGGGGGAGTAGGGGGCAATTTGTCTCCACCCTCCAACGGATTTTGAGGAAAACTTGATATTTTTCTCCCCCAACATCATGTTGAATGAGCCCGAAGCCGCATTCGCTTTTGAATCCCCCCACACCAAAAGCTGGATAGGCTGTTGCTTTTGAGACAACTACCCATGTTTCCTTGTCTTTGCTCCATCCATAAAAATATTGATGACACTACCACTGAAAAAATCCCGAGGGTTGTGTCAGTCGGCCAGAATGGGAAAGGGAAATCAAACATCTGCCTTTAGCATTGCAATTCCTTTTTTTTAATATATATATTTATGGAGTTAATAGCAGTGGGGTATCCAGCGGAGGATACGCCACAAAGCATAGATGAGTGGGAACGAAAATATTCGGTATCGAATATTAGCACCAAATCCCTAAGACACACCAGAAATCAACACCAGTTTATTAAAGGATGTGGAGGTAAGGCTTTTGATTTTTTTCTCCGTCATTTTGAATGAGGCCTAAGACAAATTGGCTTGTGGATTCCCCCCCCCCATACACACCAGAAGCTGGATATGCCGCTGATGGAGTGATGAATGGTTTTAACCCTTTTTGAGCGCTGTTGCTCCTCTTCTTGAGAATACTATTACGAAAATAATGTTGAACACGTTTTGTGTTCCCTTACAGTTTGTGCCATCACCTTGAGCAGGACACGGTGAGGCACCACCGCGTTTTGGAGGAGAAACAAATGAAGCGGAGCATCGATAGGGCGCGACGCAACCTAGAACGGGAGAAGAAACGTAACAAAATACTCAGAGCGGAGCTGGAGGTATGTGGGGGTGTTTACTTCGATGAATCGAAAAGGACAGAATCCCCTTGAAATTATTCACGTTATCTGCTGCTGTTTCATCCGTGGTAATCCTTAACAATCTGATTTCAAAGTCCTTTGTAAGGCAGCAGAGAGTGGCTGATTTTTCTCGATGTCTGTTCATCAGGAGCATATCAGAAGAGCGACAAAGCGAGTAAATCTCGTCGAGGATGAAACCCGCCACGCCGAGCTGCTGAAATGCTACCGGATGAGTGTCAGTCAAAAACGAGAAATGAAGGTCATATGCCGATACCAGTTTGCAAATTTACCTTTGTTAGAGAAGAACACCGATTGGTTAGATGAGTTTGTTGATAGGATATGCTTGTATTTCCCAAAGTGTAATATTGCAGTTCAATTTTTATGCAGCCATGTTTTAAACGTACATTTGAACTAAACATCTCACTGCCTTCTTGTAAATGGGGTGTCAGCCTAGGAACAAGTATTACTTTTTTCAAACCAACTTTGAAAAGGGGTCCTTATACTAGCTTTTCTTTTCTGGAGCCAAATTGAAGAATTTGAAAGGTGTTAAAAAGACGATGTTTACGTTCGTTACTGATAGGACCAATGGTCCAACCGCATACCCATGCGGTCACGAGACAAGCGAAATTAAATTAGATTATTCAAACATTTTTACATTTTTTTGTCAACATGTCTGGTTTCCAACAGTTGGAGGAGCAGTGGAATCGCCACCAGAAGATACGCGAAAAGCACCGACTGGAAGCAGTGAGGAGACGCAAGGAATTACATGCCCAGACAGAGAACAACATTGATACCAGGGAGCAGGCGACATCTGACAAGTGGTCTAAGCAACTCAGTGAGCATTTCCAAACTGAACATCAAGACACGCTAACCTTAAAACTAAGCGCCTTTGTGCAAATGTTTTTACTCAGCGGAATATAGATTACATTTACTCACTGGAGAGAAATAAATATAACGATTCAAGCGTTTGTTCATATAAAATTGGGTCTAATCAAGTGAATCGTGCGGAGTTGTTAGGCTGACACAAGCCGTTATTCATTACAGCAACCTTTGAAAACATTCGCGATGCGAGAGCCCTGAAGATCCAGAGGCAGGAAGCCAAGATCCAGGCTCGTCTTGAGAAGAAGTTGAAAGTTGTGCGCAAGCTTTTCGAACAACGGCGAAGGAAACCGGTCGGTCAGTGTAAATATTTGGATTGGATCAAAATATTAAGAAACTTGAAACGGTTGGTACAGCATTAAGATGATGTTTATTCGATAATCTTCGGTAAATGTTGCCCTTTTCTCCATTTTTCTGATTTTTATGACCTGTTGGAATTCAAATGAAGTGCAGTTTTGTGCGTCAAGATCATGATGCCAATCATAGCCATAGATCAACATTACAAGAATAATTTTATGAATCTTAAAACTACATGCTTACCACGTTAGCTCACACACCGGTAGTCTTT